CTGGAGGGAGCGTGGGGCGACGCGGGAGGTGGGGTCCTCTGCCTCCTCGCCTGTTGTCGCGCCTCCTCCTGCTCCTCCTCCTCCTCTTCTTCCTCCTCCTCCTCCTCCTCCTCTTTCTCCTCCTCCTCCCCCTCCTCCTCCTCCTCCTCCTCCTCCTCCTCCTCCTACTCCTCCTCCTCCTCCCAGAATGGCGCCCCGGGCAGGCCGAGGGTGCCCAGAGAGACGCTCAGCCCTGCATACATACCTCCCCGCAGGGGCCTCGAATGTTGCCAGCTCTGCTTTGAGACTAGCAGCCGAATCGCCTTTGCCTTTGTACCTCCTCCTCCTCCTCTTCCTCCTCCTCCTCCCTGGCGGGCCGAAAACTGGCGTCGTCCCAGTGGCCGGGTACCAAGCACGTCGACACCGTGCGAGACTACTTCGGGGAGGAGTATGGTTTCTTCTTTCACTGGCTCAACTTCTTCACCCGCTACCTGGTAGCAGCAGGACGACCTGTTGTTGCTTGCTTCGTCTACTTGTTTTTGTGTTCTCTCTCTCTCTCTCTCTTTCTGCTCTCTCTCTCTCTGCTCTCTCTCTCTCTCTGCTCTCTCTCTCTCTGCTCTCTCTATGTCTCTCTTGCCCTCTCCATGTCTTGCTCTCTCTACATGCCTGTCTGCCTGTCTGTCTGTGTCTGTGTCTGTGTCTGTGTCCGTGTCTGTGTCTGCTGTGTGTGTGTGTGTGTGTGTGTGTGTGTGTGTGAGACTGTGGCTGTGGCTGTGTCTGTGTCTGTCTTTGTGTGTGTGTGTGCGCGTGTGTGTGTGTGTGTGTGTGTGTGTGTGTGTGTGTGTGTGTGTGTATGTGTGTGTGTGTAGTGGCGTCGGCTGTGGCAGTGCCGAAACGGGCCTGGAGTCCAACAATGTATGAGGGTGCAACGCCGACTTGTCTGGCAGGTACTCGAAGGGGGGCCTGTGTTCAGTGGAGGCTGCAGCACCGCGCAACGATTTGCTGTTATTCGAACCTGCAGGGTGAGCCCTTTGCCTGTAGGGGGGTCACCCCAATCTTCTCACTCGGCAGTCGTTGGCCTCGCTGGAGTTCAGCGCAATGTCTGTGTGTATATCCATGCCTGTATACACAGATCTCTCTCTCTATATCTATCTCTCCCTCTCTCCACCTGTCTCTTTCTCTCTCCCTGTCTCTCTACCTCTCTCTGGACGCACGTATGGTGTTGACGGTGAGGGGCAACCTATGAGTGGGACCTCGCGGGCAACCATCGGAGTTCCAGTGTGTGCAGCCACCGAGGCAGCGAGGGACAGTGCCAGAAAGAGGCTGGCACCTCGCGGGCGGGAGTCCTCGGACAACTGCAGGGAGCCCAATCGCCAAGTGCGCTGGGGCGGGGACTGCGGGGGCAAGGTTTTGCGGGCAACTGCATGGTACCCCGCGGACAGGGGCATCTGGGGCTGGGATCCCGTGGTCGGATGTCAGTGGACAATGTCAGCGGGCAGGGGCTGCTAGAGCAGGGACCTCGTAGGCGCAACCCGATGGGTAGCTACAGGAGACGCAGCAGACAGGGTGACCCGAGGCCGCGATCCCATGGGCAGGACCCCATGGGCCCATGTGACAGGGGCCAGGCAGTTATGGCTACAAGCAAGAAGCATTTGGTGCAAGCCTTGGCCTGGGAGGAGAAATCGCACAAATCGTTCTATACTGAGTGGGATCGGGCAGTATAAGGGAAGTCCAACAGCCATACTAAATGAGTGAATGTTTATGATAGTCCCTGCGTGAAGGACGAACGCCACGTACTCATGCACATTATGTTATTGATCCAGGGAGCGTGTTCAAGCACAAGGGGTCTGATGCCAGTACCCTACCATCGATGTTGTCCCGCATCTGCAGGGACAAACGTCAAGCTCGCCGAGTCGGGTTTGCCACCCCGAAGGTCACCGTCCTCATCTTCCTCCTGTTCTCTTAGCCGCGTTCTGCCTTTTCCTCGATTCTCAGCTTATTCGCCGCACCGTGATCCCTTGCTACACGCGGTGACTGATCGAACCTTGCTGGCGAGGCTGCGTCGGCGGTATCGTGTTCATCATCGAGAGCTTCATCCTGCCCGAAGACGGCGAGCGCGCTGGCTGCAATCCTGCGTGCTCTCCTTCTGCCAATCGCAGGTTCTGCTGTGATTCCAGGGGCTCGCGCGATTCCGCCGTGCCCCAGGAGAGGTGGGGAGTCTACGGTGGAGGCGTTGGGGGCGTCTTGGGCACCATCTGGGGATGATTGTGCGCATTTCGGGGAGCGGGTTGGAGGCCTGGCGGGGCCTCTGGGAGGCAGTTGTGAAGCGCCTCGGGGCCCGTCTTGGTGCCTCTTTGGGGCCGCTGGCGATGCTGTGATCCTGGTCCCGGAGCTCGTCGAAGCTCGCCGTGCGGAGCGTCTGCAGGGCCGCACCCTGAGCCGCTGGCCCCGCAAGCGGAGCCCGCCTAGGGAGCATTATGGAGGGGCGACCTCGGGGCTTTGTTGGACCATCCAGCATCTTGGGACGCCTGTGGGCCACATTTAGGATACATCGAGGAACATTTGGGTTGTCTAGTGGGCTCTGGGAGCCATCTTGAGAGGTCTTGAGGGCATCTAGGGGCCGACTTGGGATCCTGGGCTACTGGGGCGATGTAGGTGGCCCCTTGGGGCCTTTTGGGGCCATCTTGGTAAACCCTTCAGCTACATTGTAGCCTCAGGGTACGTCTCGGAACCAACTTCAGACATACTGGACGTCGAGCAGGCGACACACGCACAAACACATGCATTCATACATGCACAGGTCCATCTATATGCACATCTGTATTTCTATACATACATACATACATACAGCCAACCATACATACATACATACACACAAATACATAAACACGTACTCACACACACTCAGGCATACCTACACATACAGACATACACACATATACACATACACACATACACACATACATACACACATGCACACATATATACTTACATACATACATGCGTACATCCATGCATACAAGCATCCATCCATCCATCCATCCATCCATGCATGCATGCATACACACATACATACACATATACATCCATCCATCCACCCATACAGGCATACATCCATACATTCATACATGCACACATACAGGCATGCATGCACACAGGTATACAACCATACACACGTATACGTGCACATAGCAGCCACATGTATCTATGCAGGTGTACGATCTGCATACACATTATATGTATGTATGTATGCATGCATGCATGTATATATATATATATATATATATATATATATATCTATGTAGGTGTGTATGTTTATATGTATGTATGTATGCCTGCCTGCCTGCCTGCCTGCCTGCATGTATGTATGTATGTATGTATGTATGTATGTGTGTATGCATGTATATATGTCTGTCTGTCCGTCTGTCTGTCTGTCTGCCTGCCTGTCTGTCTGTCTGTCTGTCTGTACGTACATATGTATGTATGTGTGTATGTGTGTATGTATGTATGTATGTATGCATGCATGCATGTATGCATGCCTGTCTGTCTGTATGCATGCATGCATGCATGCATGTATGTATGTATGTATGCATGTATGTATGTATGTATGTATGTATATATATACATATATATATATATATATGTATGTATATACACATATATATACACACACCTGTTTTTATACATATATATATATATATATATATATATATATATATATAGGTAGATCGATAGAAAACGGGTTCCAGGTCCCCGGGGGGGGCAGTCCCATTTCTTCATGGGGGGACGGGGTTCCAGGGCCCCCGTTTCTGGTCCCAAACGGCCCAGGGGGCTTATAAGACGCTCGGATGAAGCCTCCAAGACGCCCTGGAGCACCCCAAGAGGGCCCCAAGTCGGCCCAGAGAGGCCGTCAAGACAGCTTCCGACGCGTCAGACGGGCCAGGAGCCCACCAAGACGGCCCAAGATGGCTCTAAGATGACCCAAGACGGCCCAGGAGGCCTCCAAGAGGGCCTCGAGAGGGCCCAAGACAGTCCCAGGAGGCCCCGAAGACGCCCAAGATCCCCTCAAGACGGCCGACGAGGACCCCAACACGCTCCAGGACGGCCTCAAAAGGCTCCTCCGCAACATTCATACATATTCCGCGGGTTTGTTGAGGATTTTGGCGTTCTCGCTTTTCCCGCTTCCCGACGCTCCCTCACGGCCTCGGAGGCCCTTCAGATCGCTCCAAGACGGCCCACGAGGCCCCGAAATGGGCCCTGAGACGGCCAAGGAGGCTCCCCAGACAACCCAAGTTTGCCCCAAGAGCGCCCCAAGAGGAGGCCCAGAGGGGGACCGCGAACCGATCTTTTGAGGTCTCTGGACCTAGAGGCCCCCAGCAGGCTCCCAGGGGCTACCAAGAGGCTCCAATGAAGCCTCGTGAGAACCCCAAGAGGCCACCAGGAAGCCCCAAGAGTTCCCCAAGGGGCCTCAGAGAACGCCCAAGAGGCCCCCCAACACCCCAACAAATCGTATCCCCAGGAGGCCTTCTGGGGACATGGTTCATCGTGGGCCCGAGAGTCTCCGGAGGGTCCGAAGTACCATCGCGCTGCCGGAGAGCTGTCTGGGAAGTTGATTGGGGACATGACTGATCGCCTTCTCCGCCGACGTCTGCCGAAGACGAAGGCGGCGGCGGCGGCGCCGAAGACGGCGACGGACTGCGAGCTTCGGTGTTCGAGACGGTTTTGTTGGCGCTTTCTGGCCTCGGGGGCCGTTCTCGGGCCCTGGGGTCGTCGGGCTTCGATCGGCTGTGGAAAACTGCGCTGGGTGGATCGCGGGAGGGGTCCATCCGACGACGACGACGAAACGACGAAGACGACGAAACGACGAAAACGAGGACGACGACGACGACGGCGCGCCCCAAGAGGCGACGACGTTACGACGACGACGACGACGGCACGCCCCAACGGGCTCCCACAGGCGCCCCAATGATCATGTCTCCAGATGCCTTCTGGGAACCCGATTCATCAGGCCTCCCTACGCAACGATCTTCCCCAAAAGCCTCCCAGAACACGGATTTACATGCGTGGATATCTCACTGCCCATGATGCGTTCAGCGTTGTGGGCGCTTCTTCACTTCCCGTTCAAACCATCTGTGATCCATTACTTCAGCGGAGGAGTGAACTCGTCAAGGCTTGGGCTCTGCTAGTATATGTACACATATATATGTATATATACACAGGCATGTACATGTACATGTACAGGTGTGTGTGTATATATATATATATATATGCTTGTACATATATTTATATGTGTATATATATATATGTACACATGGGAGATCCTGGGCCCGCGGCCCTGGGCCAGGACCTCCCTTGTGCATGATGGCCCCCCTCCCGGGCCAGGCCGCTTCCTGGGAAGTTCCTTCGGTCCGGGACAGCCTGAAAACGCTCCAAGGGCGTCCAAGATGGCGTCCAGACGGCCCAAAAGGCCTCCAAGACGCCCCAAGACGGCCCCCAAGACGGCCTAAGATGCTGTCCAGACGGCCCAAGAGGCCCCCAAGACGCCTCAAGAAGCTTCCAAGAGGACTTCCAGGACTTCAAGCATGTCAAGACCATCGAGATTCCGTACATTTTCCCGTGACTTTAGCGTTCTCACCTTTTCGAGCTTCCGACGCTCCAGGACGGCCCCATGCGCCCCCTGCCCTGCGGGGGCTGCTCGCAGTGAGGGCTGCAGGGGGGGGGGGGGGCCTTCGGGCTGTGGCAGGCCTTTGCGCCGCTGGGCGGTGGGCCTCTCTAGCCTGCCGCCTCGCGCGCCGCCGCCCGCCGTGGCGCCGCATGAAAACGCAGGGAGGGGCGCCGCGGCCAGCGAGGAAGGCAGGAGGAGGAGCACTTGTATTTCGCCCTCGAAAACCGTGCGCGCTCCTTCCCTGCCTCCCGCAGGCTTTTGCAGGCCCACCGCCCGCACTCGGGATATCGATGAGAATCGTATCCAAGGTTAGATATGGATGAACATCAAATATCAGCTGTGAGAGAAGAGCGTTAAGATATCTTTGATGTCTTTCCTCTAAGCCAAACGGCTGTCGTACGTAGCAATACAGCAGGCAGGCAGGCAAGAGCTTAGCCTAGAAACCATACTTTGGGACGTACTGTCCGGGGCTCCTAAACCCGCTAGAGAAACCTATCATACATCAGAATTCTCACTCTCGTCATACTCTCTTGGTTTCGAGAGCATCTATAAAATTCGATCCTAAAGGATCCTAAGAATCGATATCTTGAATTTGAAAAGAGCATGCTTAAATTACATGTGCGAGCGTGCGAGCGCGCGGAAAACCTTGACATTCTTCACATCGCATAATAAGCACTTCCCAAAAACCGTGTCTGCATATATACATCTGGATACATGTATGTCCGTCCGAGTTCCATTGTTCATGACCATATCCACATCCATATCCATATCTGATACTCTGTCTCTGGCTGTCAGAAAATTCTGAACCGTATCCAATGTGTGCGTCACACATCATATTCTCATCTGGGAAGCAGAAGAATTACTGGCATGTTTGTCAGTCCGTACTTGATCCAAAACTTTGTCGCACTCTGATTTTGTCTGAAATGACAAAGAATCCACTCGATATTAGTCTATACAACTCCTTGCTGTCTTGACCAGATACCTTTGTTAGTTGATCCGCACACATCCATTTGGTCCTTATATGATAGAGTCGTCGCAATCGCAAACATCTCCTTTCTTCTCGTATCGGTAATACTCCAAGTCTCTGACTCTTATCTTGTGGTATGCCTTTGAGGCCGCATGAAAATTCCCATATATCCGTCCAATCAATAAAAGAGTCCACTGGAAGTGGTACTGTAGCTGACTCTTGAACATCTAACATATCTAAAGGAATATATTGTTTACCTGCGAAGCTCCTTCTTGTCGTATCTTCAGGTTCACACAGTCGTAAGGCAACGAGTTGTGCAAGTGGTATCGCTTTAGCCGCTGATAACGTCTCGGCATGTGAGGTACTGTGCGAAATCCTTTTGGCCCTTTGTGAGCTTCCTGTCAACATGTGCATCTTACTTCCAAGCTGTTGTATCAGTTCGTAATCCAAGAAATCTTCTTTGTCCGTCTCTATCTTC